GTATCTGTTTATAAAGATGGGACGATATTATGGGAATACAGCAATGCGAATGCAGGTAATCACGCCCCGGAATTTTTTTGTCATCGCTTTTTTTTTTTTTTTTTTTTTTTTTTTTTTTTTTTCCTTTGTAATTGTGCTCGAAAAAAGGAGGGAAAGAAAAATTGCCCGAGATCCAAGGTATGCACGATTGTTGATATGATCTATCATACAATGATTATCATAAATGATGCTCCACAAAGCTAAAAGATATACATAACAAAAAAGGAAAAAAAAAAAAAAATGAAAAATGAAAAGTGAACAGTCCACCCCTCATGATACGCCATGTATACCCAAGAAAATAAAGGAAAAAAAAGATAGTGATAAACCGGAAAATCATCGATGAACAGATCATCTCAATCATTGCGTATATTGCTTCTGCAAGAGCTTCGCAATGGTCTGCAGCTGAATGTTACTCGTACCCTCGTAGATAGCACCAATCTTACTGTCCCGGAACATCTTTTCAGCAATACCCTCACGGACGAAGCCCATGCCGCCCATCCACTCGACGGCAGAGCCGGAGACACGGCCGGCAACCTGAGAAGCGTACAGCTTGGCCATGGCGGCGTCCTGGACGAAGTCTTGGCCGGCTTCCTTCTTGCGGGCGGCGTTATAGACCAGGGCGCGGGCAGCGGTGATCTCGGTGTAGGCCTGGGCGAGCTGGTGCTGCATGCCTTGGAAATCACCAATGAGCTGGCCGAACTGACGGCGATCGTTCCAGACGTAGCTGTAAGCACTATATTAGCAAGAGGATTGCTTGGCTGGATTGGGTTGTCTTACTTGGCGGCATTCTCCCAGGCACCGAGAGCAAGACCAGTCATCTGAGCGGCGATACCAATACGGCCCTCGTTGAGGACGCCAATGGCATACTTGTAACCCTGACCCTCTTCACCGAGCAGGTTGCTCTTAGGGATGACGACGTCATCGAAGTTGAGCACACAGGTGCTCGAGGCCCGAATACCAAGCTTCTTCTCCTTCTTAGCAATCGAGAACCCGGGAGTCCCCTTCTCAACAATGAAAGAAGTGATACCCTTGTAGCCCTTGCTAGGATCCAAGTTGGCAAAGACAATAAACACACCAGCTTCCTGAGCGTTGGTAATCCACATCTTCGAGCCGTTCAACTTGTACCCATCCGCCGTCTTCTCGGCCTTGGTCTGCAACGCGAACGCATCGGATCCGGAGCTAGGTTCTGAAAGACAGAACGAGCCCACAGACCCTGTGGCCAACTTGGGCAGGAACTCCTTCTGCAATTGACTGCTACCGTATCTCATGATAGCGGTGTTGACGAGCGTGTTGTGCACGTCGGCCAACACACTGACACTGGGATCAACCCGGGCCAGCTCCTCAATAGCCACAATCGCAGCGGTGAAGTTCATGCCAGCTCCGCCGAATTCTTCGGGGACTTCAATAGCCATCACTCCCTGTTCGAAGAGCTGCTCGACGATGGCGTGGTCCATGGACTCTGCTTCGTCCATATCGCGGACCTTGGGGCCAATTTGTTCTTGAGCAAACTTGGATACTGTGTCTTGCATGAGGGATTCGGTCTCGGAGAGGTGGGAGATCGGGGTAGGCGTCAGGTGGGAGAGGTCAGCGTCCCGCCGGCGAGGGGTGGTAGAGAATGCATAGCTGGACTGGTTAGTTTGCCTCCTAAAAAGCAGGACTGAGACAAATAGTGTCCTTAAGCACATTTACATACCTCTGAACTGGCCGGAAAGAAGCTGGTCTTCTAACTGCGAGTCTCGAAGAAGTAGCGCGGGACAAGGGCCGCAATGCACGGGAAATGGAAGCCATAATAGCGGAGGGGCAGGGAAGTAGATCTTAAATTCAAGAAATAAACAGTCACGAGTTCTTGAAACTGAAGAGAAAGAAGGAGGGAAAGAAAAAGAAACGAGGCAAGATGTCGTTGTCGGTATTGGAGGAGATCACGGGGAAGCGCAGACAGCCTCGGCTAACCGCGGGCCCGCGGGGATCCTCAGTAAATCCGCACAACACACGAGGTAACCGTTTGTCTACAACACACTCAGAGGAACGGGTGAAAGGATTGTACCAGAGATTCTATCTCACATGCTAATCACCTTACCCAGATTGAACTCCTTCGCCTGCGAAAAATAGTAACCCCGCTGATTCGCAACCACCCTCGTCCCTGTCCGCTCCTCCACAAAATCGCAGTTATAGTGCGTGTGGCCAAATGCCCAGACACACACCTGCTCAGCCTTCCAACACTCTGCGTCGGTCAAATCAGTCGCAAAGGCAGACGAGATGGGACTGTTCTCATGGGCAGGATCAGCGGCACGCGAATCGCGAGCAATTGGACTATGATGGGTGAACACCACAGTTTTGCGGTGGGGTTCTGTTCGGACAATCTCAGAGACCTGCTGGTTGAGCCATGCTAGGTCCGTTTGATGGGCGGCAGAGTGGTCCTCAACAGTCCAGTCTTCGATCTGGTAGAAGTCGTTGAGGCCGAAGCTCACGCGTTGTTCTTGGGCTTTGGTGATTTGGGAATAGAGTGTGCAGCCGAGAACGGTGACATCGGGTGAGAGATCGTACCGCGTCTGGTCTAGAAAGACAAATTCTCCGAAATTTTCGGATTGTCTTCGCTTGGTGATCGCGTCTGAAAATTCTTGTACTTTGGTCCGCACGGTCGGCCAGTTGGAGTGATACGGTTCATGGTTGCCCAGTAGGAAAAAGACGACCTGGAATTTGCGCAGTTGTGCTTCGAGGAAGGCGAAGAGGCCGTCGTCTCTGACGTTACCGATATCTCCAAGGAGAGCGAGATAAGGTGCCTTAGGGGGTATTTCGAATAGATCGTAAGCCGCCGGTGTCTCCAAATGGAGGTCGGATAGGATTTGGATGGCCATCTCGCCCTATATTTAGCGATGGGAAAAACCAATCTCTAGCTCTGTTGTGCTGGAAATCACTCATCCACGGATGGCTGCCTTGGTGACGCTGACTGTGTACATGTGCCATCACTTGGCACCATAACAGTCGAAATCCACCCCAACATTCTCTACGATTCTGTATCCAACCAGTTTTTGAAGCCACACTCATGATTTTGAATGGTGAATAACTGTGGCGTTGAGTACGTGGCGGTGCATATAATGTGGCGCAGCGCTCTAAAATGGAGTAGCCTGTGATTTACATAAGCCATGTTGTTGAATTCTACGCAAGCGCCAAGAAAAGTCGCCAACGTCTCAGAGATGTAGCAAGATATATAAAGGAGGCTCGTTGCTCTGGGCTTTACTACTGTCTACTCTCTAGTCTCTTTGTCTCTATCTGTTTGTGTGGTGGCTATATTTTTCTGCCGCTTGATACCCGCCGAACGACGTCATTATTTCCCCGCGGCGGAACATATCTCTACAGAGTAATTGTTCAAATTGTCCCCTAAGACTCACACTCAATACATACGCTCGATCCAAAATGGCCGCACCCGAACACGACCCTCGGTTGCTCTACAGCATCAGCAACATCACCGCATACCATATCCAAAATGGCGAAGAAACCGAGCTCACTCCCTCAGGACCCCAGAACCTCTCCCTCCTAATGGTCCCAACGAGCACCACTCCTCTAGGAAATGGGCCAGCAGAAGAGGATTTCTACCTCCATCTGCACCTTCCTCCGGAGCTCGACCTCGCTCTTCCCGCGACGACTCAAATCTACCACCAACCGCCGACCAGCTACTTGATTCCCCGCTGGGATCTTGGTCCGGATGCGGGCGCGTTCATCCGCATACAGTTTCCTGGAGTCGGAACTGGGCCGGGGAAGGTGTCGCAGGATGATGTGGATACCTTTGAGACGATTTTGGCGCAGTGCACTGCGTTCCTTGAGAGGGCGCCGGCGCCTGTGTCCAAGGAGCATGCGCCGTATAACCCCGCGAACTTTGCCCCGGGCGAAGGATATGTCTCGCCTGGGACTAAGCCTACTAAGAATGCGCATGGGCAAATTGTACTTATAGATGAGGAGGATGGTAGTGTTGTCGGAGAGATGGAGGGGTATGATGTCGTGGAGAGGCCTGGTGTTCAGCCGGGGTCGAAGAGTAAGTCACTCTCTCACCTCTGGGTACAAGCTGGGAACAGTAGCTAACGATCCAAAAGGACCCGTTGAAGTCCAACTCCCCCAAGAAGGCGAAGGTAATCAGATCAGCGTCGACAATGCCTCTGAAGAATACCTCCGAATGGCGCGCCATCCGGCCTATAAAAGCTCTACGATTGTCCAGTCATCGGCGACAGCGTCTCGTCTTGTTGTCACCGGCTCTTCGTACATCTCCAATGTCTTGACTAGCGGTGCAGAGGGCTTCACTAAAAAGGTCAAGCCGAACCAGCAGCCCATGACCTTCTCAGACACAACACACGCGCGCATTCGAAAGATTGGAAATTTCTCCCACGGCGCGGCAGATTTATCAGCCAAGACAGTCGGCCAGGTGGGCAAGTACGCGCAGAACCTTGGTGCATCACTGAGCCGGAAACGGGAAAAGGGAGAGCGGGGTGCCGACTACAAGCCCGGAATGCTCAACAAGTCTATGATCGCCTTCTCCACACTGGCGGATGGTATCGAGCAGGGCGCGCGGAACCTCATGACTTCGGGCTCCACGGCTGCCAGCACCATGGTCGCGCATCGCTACGGCGAGGAAGCAGGCTCCGTAGCCGCCAGCTTAACTGGTGGCGTCAGGAACGTCGGGTTGGTGTATATCGATGCATCTGGTGTGAGTCGAAAGGCGCTTCTCAAGTCTGTGGCTAAGGGTATGGTCGTTGGACGCATGAAGGACGGTCAGCAGGTCGTCGTTGGTTCTGGTGATGGTGGTGACGTTCCGCCTGAAGCGAGCGCGGCTGGTCCTTCGGGCACCCGGCCTCAGGGCTCTGGGACTGGTCCCAATCCTGTTGCCAGACGTCCTTCGCCAAATCCCACTCCGCCTCCTGCGTACGGTGCATCAGACACTAGGTCGCTGGGAGGATCGGCTATGGGTGGGGGGAAGCGTTAACCTATATTGTTTCGAATTGAAATGTTATGATGCTTTTGTTTACTTTAGGCGCGCGGTGTTGGAAGTCGCTTGATATAAAATGATATCTACTCGATCTACCACCCATACATACACTCATCAAACTCCTAATTCACGGTACCCCTTCATAATCTACATCTATACGTGCAACAAACGCCCCGTATCCACTGCACTACAACTCCAATGCCACAACCCCAATAACACCAAATCAAACACTCAACCCTGCTCCGCCCCTTCAATTGGCTCCAAAAAACCAACTCTCGACCCCGTAAAAACCTCCATACTAGGCGGCGACAGTTCCTCAAACAACATGGCCTTGAAAATCGACATCCTGGGATACTTGGGGCTTTTGCTTAGGATAGGGCTACCGCAGTTTCCGCAGAATTGGCGCTTCACATTACCCTTGTTAGCATACTTCGGACATAAGATATAACGCAGGGTCCAAGTGAGGAGGTACCTGAATGCGATTCCCACTATCCGTGTTTGCATCCTCGTAGATCTTTAAACTTGCGTGCGGATCATTGATGTTGGCGGTGGAGTCTTCGACGGCATAGTTTATCGAGAAGGCTATGTCCCAGTCAATCCCTACATCTTTTCATGCCCATATGAAGACAGTAAACTCACGACCACCACCAGCCTTGGTACAATTGCGGCTATTCAATCAAACAAAGTAAATGAGCTCATGCATTCACGCAACCTCGGGCAGTGGTATGTATGTACCAATGGCAAATTAAAGTAACCTCTGGCTGCTGGTCCAGCGAGACCTGGATGTTTCCGCAGTTGCAGATGCCTTTGAAGGACATTTCTGACTGTACCCTGGTAATTGAAGGATGAATTGGAGGGAGTATCCAGGAGTTAAGGTAGATAAATAAAAATAAAACAATGCTCCGTGCGGTGTTAATCAACGGCTGTGGAGCTATTTCCTCTTCGACGTAGGAATTACGGAGCGCGGAAGACTTTCCGATGTATAAACATCTGCACAATCGGATAAAGAGTGATAAGGTTGATTAATAGATTATCATTCCTTTGTCGATGACTCTTGATACCTTGTACAATTACACCAGAGCATAAAATTATTATTTCTTGGATGTATATAATTTGCATGCAATCCCCAGCACATACCTAACAAACGTCAATTTGCCCGTTATCCCTTGAAGCATTAGCTAAAGCGCAATTTGCATGGTGATTGTTATCGCAGTAAGCAATGTCCAAATGGTCTTGCTTTGACAGTGACAGCTATATGGGAATCCCAAGCTGATTCCGCATACCTCCAAATTGTTCGGATTGGCCCCATGTATCTCGATCAATTCCTGGCCGTTTGCAGATGGATCCATCACCCATTGCCAGACTTTTCCGCTGACGGAATCTTCGTACTCACTCGATATCCTTGACCTTTTGGCGCCCCTCCCCCGGTATATCCTAAGATACCTATAGGATCGGTGAGTATTTCAAATCATCACAGCTGACTCTGCGTACTTCTAGAGATTTTCGAGGTTACTCCCATGGATCTCGATTAGCTCCTGGCAGTTGATGCATGGGTCTGCGACCCATTCCCAACCTTTTTCACTAAGGGAGCCGTCGTACTTTGGGCTACGAACCCCCTTCCAGTGCACAGCGATTCCTCTGACATTCTGGCTTTGGCCCTTATATCCCATGAGGCATTTATTAGATTGATTGGCTAACCGTCACAAGGAGAGGAAGCGCACTTCATGAGATAAGAAGGGATACGTTTCGACACAATTGCCAAAATATTGTCCTTTTTGTCTCTCATTCCAAATCCGTTCAGCTCCAGGCCGTCTTGCAGGAGCTTGAAGTCCCATTTCTTTGGGGGAATCAAGAATTCTATCATAACACCTCTATTTCCATCTCATTGAGATGTATTCTGGTGGAATGAGAACGGCCTGTTCCCCTGTAATTTAAAGGGCGGCAGTGCTCTCATCGAAACTGGATTTCGTCCAACGTCTGTATCGAAGGGTTGGTTGATTATCAGGCGAGAAATTCTATTGGGAAACGTAGTCGTTGTCTCCAGAAAAGTTGTCTAAATACACGATCATAGTGTAGCGTGGAGGTTCCCGACAGCGTATACTTTTAGTAACAACTTCCACGGTCTGAAAGCTCTCCCTCCATGTAAATGTGGGATGGGCTGTCTTGCCTTTCGAGATTGCCAAGCCCAATTTTTCAAAAATGGACATAGCGAACAATGTATTTTTGCATAGTTCGGCAACCTAGGCGCTGGGTCTGTCATATGAAAGCTATTCTTCTTAAGATGTAGCTTGATTAGCAGTCGGTTGGAGGTCAATGGTCCAACAGACATTAAGCATGCCTCATGAGCCATAAGAATAGGTATGTTTTGGCACAGTTGCGAAAGGGCTGGCCGTTCAGGACCCTGTCCTGCATGACTCGTTTGAGGAATAGCTCAGTAAGTCGGGAGTCTTACCCTCAGCAAGTAGATAGCGAGAATTTCGAATATCTATGGTCCAAGCACGTCGAGCATGGTATTTTCTATACCACCGAAGGACGCATCAAGGAAGAAATATAGACGCACTGTCCTCCTTCCAACAAACAGCAGCTATACATCCATGTGGTCTTAACGCCCCTGTTAATAGTGCGACACCGGTTCCCGAAATTTGTCCCAATGACAAGAAGTTGCGCTTCTCAACCCTAAGGGGCGTAGGCCCAAGGGTGAGCTTAAAGTGTCTCAACAAATCGAAAGGGGCCCAGTATGGGATGCCGCCGTAAAATTTCCTGTTAGCTTTTAATTTCGATACTATCTTCACAAGCTCTCCTGATGCCCAAGGTGGATGCAACAATCCGCTGATTTCCTGTTGTGGTTTGGGACTTAAAACTCCTATGCCATGTAGCTTACTATGTTATTATATTAGCCAAGTTTTCTGCGTCTTGGGCTCCATGATACATGCTAATCTCAAGTCATGGACTCGGATGGTCTGGAGCTCTCTTGATATTTTATCATTTGCACTTGAGTGTCTTGGAAATACAATGCCTGCATCCATGTTACTTCGATCCGTGGTAGATGCAGTGTTCTGGTTTGGGGTCGGCAAATCTTGTGCCATGAGGCAGGTTATCCCCAATAACGCGAATGCCCGATGTACTTCCTATAGAGTGAACTTGTCTTCGTTCTCGAGAAGTGTGTCTATTGCTTATTTCATTTGTAAAATGCCCCAATATATGTATGCAGGTGATGATTGAACCGCGGTGGAGATAGAAAAGAAATTTCCCATATCACTCTTCCATTTACCTCAGACCTCACTTTTGCTGTCCTTACCAGTCCTTCCACCATGATCTGAAAGCCAGCAGAAGCCCGTCCGATCGCTCCTACAGATCTCATCCTTGCAAGCCAGCCAGTCCCGGAAACATATAGCTATGCAGTACAGTCGTCTGGTCTAGCTGCCGCTATCTTAGGCACCGTCCGTTACGTTTCCATTGTGGAATACTATTGCAATCCAGCCTGATCTCACTCTGCTGGCTAGCTGGTACACGTCTTCTGTACGTCGCGAAAAGGCAGCCTAGCGAAAGCACTCGTTGATTATGCCAATGCCATTGATAAAAATTGGCCTATTTTGTATGAAAATAGCAACGGTAAGCAAAGGGACGGATTTGCATGACTTCTGCACGAAAGTCTAGAGAGGTGGCTCAAGGTTGTCTGGTGCAGCAAGGAACACTTGATCAACTGACGGTCATTGATGACTGCTTCGAGATATTCTACGATTACTCAATTGCACAAAACATTAAATACACAGATTATAGATAACAAAATCAGGCCAATGACCCAAAAGAAAACGACTAGTTTCCTCAACATCCAGTCAGCCTCATTCAGCATGCATTGGTAAGCAATTTCAAGCTTCCTTGCAGGTTGGTTCTCAGCTTCAATATCCCCTTGCTTTCTTGCAAAAGGCCAATCCTTCAAGAGCACTATGTCATGTGCGCTTGAAGCACCAACGAGGAGTGCGACTAGAACACGCTGTTCGACATCGACTTAAACTCATCTAATATTTTTCACACCCCGTCGAATCTGGGCACCTCTTGGGGATTGCCACTAGATAGGAAAAGGACTGTCACGGCAACGATTGTGCTCAGCAAGTACTTTGCTGTTTCTAAGTTTTTCAGCGAGCGTATACAATTTTCACAAACTGCAATAACTCCTCCCATATTATGGACAGAAAGATCCTCTGCTGCACTTCCCCAGATGATACCAAACTGTTTGCGTCAGTGCCCCTGGAGTACCTCTTCCAAGATCCTCCGAGCACCTGGCGGAAAGAACATATTTGATATCGGACAGGATTGAGGGGCTTCTGGTTTGTTCGACCCAGTTTCAAAGCAAAAATAGTTTTCGTATTCAACTTATCGATCGCCCATCTAGAGCTTGCTTAATTCACAGCCATAAGCAAGAAAAAAAGCGTACACAGTATCATGCCCCCGGTACACTGAAGACTCATTCCTCTGCTAACCTGTCAAGCCGCACTCACCGTCACCAGCGTTTTCTAGTTTTCACCCCTCCGAGCCCTCCCCCAAGGCATCGAGAATATTATTCAAACCCGTGGGAGCTATAATCTCACTAATGGCATCACCCATCTGAGTTCAACCGTCTAGGAGTTCATTTATCTGCATGGTGCTCTGTGCATGGTTAGAGACATGGCACGTAGTAGGGTTGAAGTGGAGCTGGGTTACTTGCAGATTTAGCCATGTTGGCCAATTGTCTACAGTATGCAAGGCCAATCTGTAGTTTGTATGTGACTCAGAGCATACCGCGATTTCGCCTCAGGCCTTCTTCTTGCCTCCAGCATTCTAGAGTCAATAAATTTCGTTTATTAGCCAAAAGACCCACATGACAGGAAATGGGACGTGCCGCGTTTCAGTGGGTCGATAATAGTTTAATTTGGAGTCCGGAGAGCTTTCTGTTCGTGGTATGTTGTCCATTCGCACTGTACCAACGACTTATGGAGGTATCTAATCATAGATTATACTGCACCAGAATGGTATAGACTCACTCCATACTCTGTAAGTATTCTGTATGGTTAATTTGCAGGGGAAGCCACGTGACTGTAGCATTAAAAAGGGTAATTAATGAGCGACATCAGTCGACCAATCATGAAGAGCACTGCCATTAAAGCTCTGCCAATCGGGCGCCGCAGCAGGATTAGCTCCCGCTGACCGTGCATCCAGGATGGCAGGAAAGTACGGAGTACGGACAAGTACAGACACTCTATGATGATATCTCAGAGGTACTTGAATGTGAGGTATCAGCTAGAATGTACAAAGCATGAAGAAGGTCATGTAAGACCGTTTGCTGGTTTGCAGAATTGAAACCATGGATTCACCTCACCGTTCCTGCGTTTGGCGAATCCCGGACTACCCCTTTAGCAAGGCCACAGAATCCTGCAGCCACCTGAATTATCAGGCACCGTATTACGGCTCAGCCTCGTATCTAAACGCTGCATTAAATACTTCATTTTCCCCGCTGCGAAGCTGGGTTTTCCTCTCGCCGGCTTCGGTATTTTTTTCAGTGACAGTGACAGAACTCAACACTTGATCATTTTACCTCAGCCTACTTGTCCTCCCCCTCCCTATCATGTCAGATTTTGACCCTCCCTACGGCTACCCTCTCCGCCGTAACGGCTCCTGTCTCAGCACCGAGAAGAACTGCGGCAAAACCTGGGACCCCTGGTACCGATGCTGTCCCTCAGGTACCTCCTGCGAAGATAATTGTTGCCCGGATGGCGTAGACTGCGGGCAACGACTCGGACAAGACCCCCATTGTGCCAACGACACGGCCACGCTCTATCGGGCCAAGGGTAGCGAAGACGACAGTCCGGCATCGGGTTATTTCTGCTGTGTTGATGGCACTAAGGCGTTTCAGGATGATCGGACTTGGGTAGGATGTGCGGATTCGTGGGAGTCATTTAACGCGAATGATTCATATACAGCGGCGTTGTCTATTAGTGCACCTGCTTCGAGTGCGTATTCTTTCTTTTCTGTCAGTGCGTTCAAATCTAATTCTCGGTCCAGCTAGCACGAGTGCCACGATTTCATCAATGTCAGCATCCACGGCCATGGCCACGGCCACTGCTACGTCTGACGCAGACTCATCATCTTCGTCCTCTTCTTCTACCAATACCGGCGCCATCGCTGGCGGTGTCGTTGGAGGTGTGGTTGGAGCTGCACTGATACTCGCCTTGCTATGGTTTTTCATCCATCGTCGTCGGAAGGCAGCGGCAGCATCACAAACGGCGCCTGGGCCGCATATGGCCGGAGACATGGGATATATTCCCTGGGCACAGGCTCCGCAGCAAAGGATACAGGAGTTGGAGGATGCCAAGCAGCCGCAGCCGCCAGCGCCGTTGCAGGAGCTCGAGGGTAATTCCGAGCATCAGGTTCATGAGTTACCGACCAGTCACCGGTGATGATGGGTAGTGTCTTGATTTCGCTGTTGATATCGTTTGGAGAAGATGTTCAAAAATGACAAGATGGAGTACATGGAGTTATGGATGAGTTATGAGTTCTAGATGGATAGTTTGGAGTGATCTAGCCGGATTTTTTATCAAGCAAGTCTACTGTAAGTAATGGAGATATCACCTACTACCTTAATTGACAATATATAATGCCAGCGGCCTCCGTCCAGGGCTCACAACATTCCACAAACCCTCCTCGTCACATCATCGTCACCAATTCTTGTATTTCTTATCTAGTTCATATCCTCGTCCAATACCCGAGTTATCAAAAGCAACGCATCCAGATCAGGACATGGCGAAAACGACATGAACTCATAGTGTATCAATTTTTTTGGGGGCCACCTGAGCTGCTAAATCATCCTCAGGGCCGGCCTTGCACTCAGCCTATTTGGTCTTGTTTCATTAGAGATGAAGATCCCCAACCTGTGACCATGCTGCCGATAATGGGGTGACCCCGAAATATATAATTGCCGTTGCCGCGAGGGAACTCGGGAAACAGCATTGGTTGACACTTGACGTGGATAGAATGCTAACTATAAACCCCACCTGCTCCTGTCATGGAGAATCATTGGAAGACGAACGGAAGAACCGATGACTAAATATATATACCCGCAGACCCATTGCCGCCGCAAGAACCATGGTTGCGCGGTGGTACTATTAGGTGCAACCCCTGGATTATTTTTTTTTGAGGATTCTGTATGGAAGATGGATGATTACGGAGTGAATATATTGTAGGGATAGATAGATGAATATGGACTTGAAGAATAGACTCGGAGAATTGGAGACTGGTACGGGATAGTGTTGATTATCAATTGAATAATTGCTCCAGGGACCAAATTGATACGTCCCTTGTCTGGGGAAGGAGAGGACGAGTAACCATGGAACAGTGGACATGTTCGAGGATGATCGGTTAGAGTCTACAGTGTGCATAGTACATACTAATATTGCTCTGTATGATGGTTGTACTTTGTAGTACTACTCTTATACGGAAATGAGGATCGCCGCGGTGCACAACCCCAGAGGCTCAAAGCGAGTCGGTTCGAAACAGTCAGTTCCCCTGTTGATTTGGTTATTTTTGTCTACACGTTCAAACTGCATGGAAAGTGAACAAAACAAAAAAAAGGAAAAAAGGACAAAAGGATAAAAGGATAAAAATTTTAAAAAGAAACAGTAAGGGCGAGTCGAGGAGTGGAAACGAGTGATATGGTGGCAGTGGACGCTTGGAATTATCATCGTCGTAGCAGCAGTAGCAGAAGCAGCAGCAGTATTACTAGCAGTTAGTTAGTTAGAGTAAGAGCTAAGCTAGACTACAGCAATACTAGAGGGTCTCCCGTTTTCGTCTCCCCTCTCTTCCGCGTCCTCTCTTCATTTCCTATTTTCCTCTCTTCTCTCTTCTCTTTCTTCCTCCTCTTTTCTTCAGTCAGTTTCAAAACTGTTCTATTTTCTCTCTTCCTTTTGTTTTCCTTTTTTTGTTGTTGTTATTCTCTTTCTTTTTCCCTTTAATTTTCCTTCTCTTCCCTCTTCGGGTCCTCCGCCGCCCGCTCCTCTCCCTCTTCCTCTTCTCTCTACGGAGTAGTAGTCGACTCTACTCTCCCTCGCCGACCGGGTCGCTTTTATTCTGTTTCTAATACGCAGGTCTCTGTTTCTCACTCGAGGGATTCTCTCCAACAGAACAAACAAACGATCGAGTTCAATTCGAGTTTCGTTCCTCCGTGCGCCTCCCACCTCTTCCCCCTTTATCGCTGCCCGTCGATCATGATCCTATACGCGGTACACTCTCGGCCTCAATTCCTGCAGCAGTGCTAAACGCTGGTCTCGACGACAGCTATTCGAAAGAAATAGTCCCAGAAACAGTCTACCGTCTGAATAGTTCAATACGATCTATAATCGCGTCCCGAGGCTATTTACCCCCCGGTCTCCCTCGTCAAGAAGAGTCAAGAAAAAGAGGTTGTGAACGACGAGTCGCGGTAGTCACTGCAGTGCAGCTATCTTGGGACTTGTCTTCTCTTTATTTCTTGATTTGAAAAAAAAAAGAAGAAAAAAGAAAGAAAGAATTTTCATAATAAAGGTGCGTCTTCGACTTGCGAAGCCCACGCGTTTGTTTTTTGCAACCTAGTGTTCCTGTTTATTACAGTATTTTTATATAAATGTCTTTTGCGTCAATCGGTTTTGCTTTTTTCGAGTATTTGGAAGCATGCTCTTGCATTCCGATCGCAATCCACGAACTAACTTTGATTTGCAATACAGCTCTGGCAGCAGAGAACGAACGATTGCGATCGCAATATCACCCCCCCCAATAAAAAAATCGTCAACTTTCAAAAGAAAAAAAAAAGTCAACAGACAATAACCCTCAGGAGGGTTATTTTTGTTTACTGTTTCCTTTGTCGTGTCATAACTTGACCCGCTCATTGCGATTGCCCAAACGAACCGAAATAACGATCGCCTATCCATTTATACCTTCACGAGGTGTTGTTTCGGACCGTCACGCAGGATTTCCTTTGGTAACTCGCTCGCGCGCTTCAATAACACGAAGGTATGTCCTGATCTGCTCCCTGATGCCAACGGCTCCCTTGGCTGCACCTTCTACATCTTCGCTTGCCATTTTGGTTTCCACCGTTTCATCATGCGCTGTACTGCACGAGTCTTCGCAGCTGTCGCGGCGCTCCATTGGTCCATTTACCTCTATCTTGAAATTTCGGTGCTAAATCTTCACCAGCCTTCGTCCGTTCCGGTCCAGAAACGGCTTCATCTCTCTTATCGGCTATGAACGAAAACCCTCGTCCGCAGTCTTTGCCGCCGTCGACACATGCAGCCTCAGCCTCGTCCTCCGCGGCGCCTGCGCCCGGCGAGAGCAGCGTGCAACGCCCAATTTATCCCGATCTGCTAGGCGGCCCCCCGGTTCCGCCTCCTAGAACGTCGTCTCATCGCAGCCACCGCAGTTCTCCGCCCTCAGACAGAGGTTCGGGATCCCGGCATTCAAAGCATCGCTCCGACTCTGGGCGGCATCATGCTACCGCCGCTTCTTCGTCGGATCCGTCGAAGAGAGCCAGTTGGACACCAGGGTCTCCCGTCTCTCCAGTGACCCCGACCAACGCGTCCATCATGGAGACTATTCCTTCCCAGGGGACTCTAGTCAAGGAGTCGAGTACCGTGATCAATCAAGTCCTCGTCAGTGATCCGTCAGTGGATATTGAGCGGGAGCAGGTGCGACAATCGGGCAAATCCGAGGAATCGTCGCCCAGCAAGGGTGCCCCGTCCGGTGGCGGCCTGGGTTTGGTCGGGAGTGAAGGTGTAGACGATGGTGGCCGTGGTGGGCTGCGCAGTCGACATGACTACAACAGCAACTCGACCAAGCGGAAAGAAATCACCTTTGGCCAGTATGTTCTCGGGCAGACGCTGGGTGAAGGTGAATTCGGCAAGGTCAAGCTGGGCTGGAAGAGAGACGGCACCATCCAGGTGGCCATCAAGCTTATTCGAAGAGAGGTGCTCGGCTCGAATCCTACCAGACTTCCTAAGATCTACCGGGAGATTTCAATTCTCCGCGACCTCTCACATCCAAACATCGTCCGCCTTCATGAAATGGTGGAAACCGACCGTCATATTGGAATAATCATGGAGTACGCATCCGGAGGAGAACTGTTTGATCACATCCTGAACAACCGGTATCTGAAGGACAATTCCGCGCGCCGTTTGTTTGCGCAACTCGTCTCCGGTGTTGGTTATTTGCACAAGAAAGGTATCGTGCATCGTGACCTGAAACTCGAGAACCTGCTGCTCGACCGCAATCGCAATATCATCATTACAGACTTTGGGTTCGCTAACACGTTCGACGCGGTGGATGAACTCAGTGAGGAGATCGAGTACAATCTGACAAACAAGAATTTTGTGAAGAGGATGCAACTGGACAAGACCAATGCCAAGGGAATGCGGAGAGGCGATCTCATGCAGACGAGCTGCGGAAGTCCCTGCTATGCTGCTCCAGAACTCGTCGTGAGCGATTCTTTATACACGGGGCGCAAGGTTGACGTCTGGAGCTGTGGTGTTATTCTGGTACGCATCAAGACAAAGAGAATTGACCTTCGACTTTGCTAACATATGGCGTGAGTAGTACGCGATGCTTGCAGGATATCTCCCCTTTGACGACGACCCGGCAAATCCGGATGGTGACAACATCAATCTATTGTATAAATACATCGTCACAACTCCCTTGACGTTCCCCGAATATGTGACCCCACATGCGCGCGACTTGTTGCGGCGGATATTGGTACCTGATCCACGGAAACGAGCAGACCTGTTCGAAGTCGCCCGTCACAGCTGGCTCAGCGAATTTTCCCACATCGTATCGCACATCACCAGCAGTACCACCCAGGTCGCCGAGATTGCCAACACTACCATTCCGCAAGGTATGCAGAGCTTGCTCTTGTTCTTCAATGCTCATTTTGCTGACAACCGGTTCAGAAGAACAAAAAGAACCATCGCTGGCGCGCAGCGCGTCGGTCAGAGAACCTCCGAAATCTTATCACAGTCCCGTTTCTACCGTGGGCGGACTCACCCACCACTCTGGGGACATCTCGCACGACCAGCAGTCCGACAAGTCCAAGACCTCGCGGGATGCCAAGCGGAGAACGGTCCAGGTCGAATACGTTGCCCCTCAGTCTCAGACCGCCCGAGGGGAGACTCCTACTGCACGAAATTCCATCGCTTCGAACATGACCCCAACAGAGGCTACTCACACTGCGGCTGGAGCCGCGGCGCCCCAAGAGGAGGTGCCCGCAGGGCAGAGCGCCGGGGCTGGCGAATCGAACGTATCGGAAGCTGGGGGCAGCACAGCGGTTACGGGGCCACCCCAGCCTCCAATGCCACAATACGCGCGGCCGACTACCGGTGGTTCGATGACCTCGTTCAACGCTGGCCGCCTGCCGTCGCGAGGTTCTTATGGTCAACCTGTGGCTCCTACGGTTGCGGCAACCAATGCCCAGGGTCGTCTCGCACAACCTACAAACAAGCAATATGTGATCTCCGCACCTATCCCTCAAGATCCAACGCACGCCGCTACTATGTCCATCGGGCGGCCCAGCGCTCAGGAATATCCATCCAGATTCAATACCACCCCTCGCCAAGAGACACCAAAGGGCCACAAACGGTCGAACACGATTTCGGGGATTGGAGAAAGACTTTTCGGTCGATCTGGGTCTATTTTCGGTGGCCGCGGTACACAGCCGGGTGGTGCTCGCCAAAGGAATAGCAGGCGCTACCCGCCTACCAGCATGAAAGAACCATTCCCAGGAGATAACAACACGAGAGTCTCGGTGGATTCTCGACGCTCAGGCACTCTTGGGTCGAACCGCAAGTATGGCGAGTCGAGTGGAGAGAGCAGGTCTCGTCGATTCTCGCTTTTACCTGCGTCTTTCTCACTGAAAGGCTTTGGTTCGTCGAGCAGATCGCAAACCCCAGATAATGATTCACAAGGCAGTCGCATAAATGTCAATCGCGTCCAGCAACAAACGTCAATTGGTGCTCAAGGATTTCGCTCTCGCGCGGCCAGTTCTGGGACCCAGGATGCGATCAATTCGATTACAGAGGGACCGTCGGATGAGGTCTTCACCAATGATCCACCAGTCAACTACCAGGCTCGCATCGACCAGCAGTTTGCGGCCTTGCATGGGACACAATCTGTCGGTTATCAGCCAACGTCCTACAGCGGCGCGTCGGCCGAGCAAATGTATCCTGATCAGCAATACGCGCAGCATGCGCATGCTAATAATTCGGCGCCCAGTTACTTGGATGGCCATAATGAAAATGCTCACCAACAGTCGATGCAAGGCAACCGACGAGGAACTGGTATCCTCCAGAAAAACCGCAAGTTTGCCGATGCCTACGAGTACGAGCATCATCCTGGCAGCTCAGGGGCAGCGAGGAAAGTCATGGACTTTTTCCGTCGGCGAGCTAAGTCCCGAGTTGGCGATGATCGGTAGATTCGATTAATAATACATGCTCTTTTGCATTGCTTCGAATTCTTGCTCTCTTCGGGTTGAGTACCCCGGCGGCGTCCCACTTTGGCAGCTCCTTTGTGAGGACAGGATGAATCGAGCAAATACACCTCGAACGCGTTGGCGTTGAAGGAGGATTAAGTGGCTCATTTTCAGTATGGAAGGAAAAGAGCAAAGAGGATAATTGGATACCCTTCTCTCTCGTGATACCTCGTGATACCCCAACAGCATACGTCCTCCCCTGCTTGCAGCGATCGGTTTGTCCTGCTATTGTACCCTGCGACCGTTTGATCCCGCATACATATTGATTTATCTAGCATGTTATCTTTTCATTTCCTTTGTGGACAATAAATTCTCATTTCTTGTTCGTCTGTTCAAATACTGTGTGTTTACTGTCATTATACTGGTTGTAAAGTGGTCTTGTTTGTGCTTGTTTTCTTTTCTTCTCAAGCCCTATTCTGTTATTCTCTTAGCATTTTCTTCATGGGAGGATGCTTTCCTTTTTTTACATTTCTTTTTCTCTTTCTCTCTTATATCCCAGTTTCGAGTTCCTTGAGGATAATCTAATTTCCATTGCTTACTGGTGATTATACTTGCATTGGAGTTTCGAAGTATACCACTACTGTCGTTTCGTTGTCGGTTGTCTGATTGAATCGTTGATACATGTATGGTACTGATTTACAGAGTAGATATTACTATTTATAATATAAAACCAGGACCTTGTGAATTTCCTGTTCCGGCTAGCTTTGCCGTTTCTGGTATAGCCTCGCGATACGCCGTATTGTGAACGCCGCCCGCCTGGCCTCCCAATATACAAGAGCTTTCCCTCATTGTTCTGACTTCGTCCCCTCCCAAATCTTTTTCTCTTCCCAAACTCCCTCCCATATTCTGTACTCACCTATATTACTGACCATTTGAATTCCGCCAACTCCCCCTTTTTTTCTTTTTTCTTTCGGAAATTGCGGCTCTCTCGCCTCAACTTCCGGTTTCCTTTACCTCGTTTACGTTGACCGGCGTTTTGAGCTGATTCTATCTCCCTCTTTTTTTTTAATACAGTGAATTGGTTCATATTATTTGCTCCCCTATCTTTTACTGAAAAATGAATTTACATGAGATCTTGCTTGAGGCCGTATGGAGGAGAATTTGATTATCGAATAAGGGTGATATTGACTATCTAACACCGTAATGGACGGATATTTGAGTGGTTGATCCTCTATCATACAAAAGTGTTGACAATTTGTAAGGATGAATTCCCATATCTAGCAACACCAGGAGGGGGATGGAGCCTAAAACAACATTATTTTGATGCACTTCCCTTGAGCGTCCGGTTTGGCAGCCGAGTTTGAAGATAATTAAATTTCATCATGGCGCTTTGTAAGCGGCAGAAAAAATGAGAACTTATCCCTTGTGTTCCATCGCTCTAATCCACCGGTAGGAGAGTAGGGACGGACTGAAAGGTAGGAAAAGACTGGAGGGGAACGGACCGGGGAGTAGGGACGGATTGTGGGTTAGGGACAGACCAGAGAGTACGAACAGACTCTGCAGGAAGTCACCAAAAGGGTTTGCAGCCCTCAATGGACATATAAGAGTATTCACGGAATAAAACTTGTTGAGGAAACATGGAATTTGCTAACAACCCACTTGGCCAAAGGGCCAATCGATTAGCACAACAAAGACTGCAATTCATCCAAGGTTGCGGAAATGTTCCAATCTGGCTCGAGTCTCCACGCAGAGAATGGGATCAGTCCAGTACTGGTGCTCGCCAGGTTGAGCAGGGGGCATGGGAGGAGGTGCTATCAAGATAGCCAGATCAGATCAGGAAGAGGGGACTGCGTTTTGATTCACGCCACGATCGACCCAGGGATTGGAGAGGGTCGTGTTGTTAAGTGAAGGATCGGAAGGTAGGAGAGAAAGAAGGACAGAGGGAGGGCAGGTGGCATTTTGTACGCTGTCTGACCAGACTGGTCGGAATTGGAGGGGGACTATATCTGGCTGTAGATGAGGCCATTTTTGGTGTCGCATTGGTCGTCATTTTGGATAGGAGAGAAGGCTCGCTGAGGTTTGTGTACACAAGGTTGAGCGTGAGCATCACCGCAGGGCGATGATTAAGCAATTATTTGGCGGGTAACTTACAGAATAGTGGTGTGAAACATATGGCGGGATGTTAGAGCAGCGGCTTGCTGCTGGGCATTACAGGTGGAAATGCGGCCGTGAACGGCCTCAGAAGTAGTCATTTTCGGCATCATTCTCACAGGTCCTCACATCCTATGCGTAATTACATTGATATTCGATTTAATTGAGTTTAGAACGGTATTCCTTCCGAGTCAGCAAATAAAAGATAGATATCATGTGACAGCTCCAGCCCGAGGTTCGCGGAATAACACAGGACAGAGAAACTCAAACAGGAAAGTAATGACTTGTCCCTCGTTAAGAGACGAGAAATGTGGGGGACCTTGGGCCCGAGGTACAAGCCAAACACTTGTCTGTAGATCTTGCGTCATGGTACAGAGTACAGGGTATTTGAGTCGGAAATAAACACGGAATGGGTAACAGTACTTGTCAGCATCTAGTTATAGTTACTATCGACTGACTTGTCTTATTTAAGCATAAGCATAACATCCCTACCTAGTTTAACCTAACGTCTTGGCCATCCTTATCTCTCTTGGCTTGAAGTATTCAGACAGGCAACAGGGGCTCAAGTGAAAGAAAAAAAAGAAAAAAGCCAAGACAAGCAGATCCCACAAGCGTTCGTTCAACGTGATCATCGTCTGGTGATGTGATTGGTTGAGGGTGGAGGGTAGGGTACATACGTAGGATGGTGATCTGGCGATACGGATTTCAGGAATACGGACGGAGCGGAGGCTTACCTGTACAGACCGGAACTCTACGCTCTGTGCTCTGTACGGAGACAGACATATGTGGAATTATGTATGTATGTCTGGCCGGGGAATAGGGACTGGTGGTCATTGTTATGTATATGCAATCCTTCTGTAGGTGTGTCTAAGTAAATTGCTTTAATCTTATCAATGGAGAAGGGGGGTAAACAATGCCAGTAATGGGATTATGTAGTTTGTTTTACTCTAAGATACTTAGGAAGGTTGATCCTGGGTGGATTACTTTCCTGAAATCTCACCGATGCGGGGGTATTCACTATTTTAGATTTGTAGTACAGTAATTTTCCGTACAAGTGGCTGACCTGACTACGATGATCATTGCGCAATTCCGCTGATTTGGCCTGCTTGATTTGCTCATTCGGTGCTGTTATGAAGAACCCATGGGCTACGCTATGCTATGTACAAGACAAAAACCAAGATGTTCACTGCCCACTATCACTGTCACTGTCCAACCTGACGATAACTGTACGCATCTGTCCGTGCATCCGCGCATCTGTGCATGCTATGCTGTAAAGAAATCTCCCCGGACGAGCCGTTTTTGTCTAGACTCTGGACTCATCTGGAGATGATGGGTGTCGTGTGGTTCGTGTCGTGGTGTGTTGTGTTGTTGTTGCATCGGATGATGCGATCATACCGGATGGTAGTTGTTGAAGAAAAAAAGGGAAAGCAACAAGTTTATTCACTCGAAGCAGTCTGGACAGGAGCGTCGTAGCCCAAGAAAAGGAAGCCAGCAGGCAGCGGAGAGGGCGAGAGCACGGCCGGAGAGCGGACGCGGTTCTCGGAGCCAGAAGCGTGGTGAGGACCAGCCTGGCCGGGCGAGAGAACAAGGAACCTGGAAGCAGAGGCAGAGCTATCCATGGAGGCAGAGCTGTCCGAGCGGCCACGGTACTCAGCGTCGTGAGGACCTGCTTGGGTGGGAGAGAGAACGAGGAAGTTGGAAGAGGCGCTGTCGGTGGAGGAGCAGCTGTCGGAGCGGGCGCGAGGAGCGGGGGACCCGTGGGAGGCGGTTTGGATGGGAGAGAGGACGAGGAAGTTGGTGCCGGGGGTGTTGGAGTACATTTTGAGGGTTGGGTTTGATAGAGTAAGACCGAGAAGGCTTTGTGTTGGTTTGGACTTGTAGTTCTGAGAGAAGAGAGATGCTTGATGAAGAACAGAACGAGAAAGCTCCTGGGAATGAGACCCTCTTTATATCTTTGCGGTCTGGCCAAGACTGATCACCTCACTGAGCAGAAATCCGTATTAAAAAGCGTGTATGGATGTGAAATGAATACAGACGTGGGGTCCTTTCCCCCCAGAAGAGTTACCGAGCAGTGGACCCCCCGGATGCCCCCTTTCTAGGCAAGTCTTGGCTGGCGATCATCCGCATCATTGCTTGTACAATCACTGCAATCTGTGTATACCCGTGGGGGGCGCGGTAGGCTGTAGGCTGTTTGTCGATGTACGAAGATTTCGAAGTGCTCCATAAAACCCTCCATCTTCGAGTACCGTACTCCGTACTCCGTACTCAAATTCTGGTATTCATGAAGACTGGAATCTGCACCCTGATCAGCCACAGCCAAGAAGTCGTCAGTGCTTTTTAAGATCGATAGCTATGCACAATCGCCTGACGCTATCTGGTCTGGGCCACTTGGCAGCGACTTGGCACATTCTCAGGTTTCAGAGGAAGTCATGTGAGGGAAGCAGGGAGATAAGATGTCTTGGTCGTACTCCGTAGTAGAGAGGACTGCATGACAGGCGCAGCACTGCCAGAGAGGCGGTTCATCGTACTTTGTACCAGCAATAAATCCGAGACAGTCACGTGTTCTGACCTTCCTGCGAGAAAGCGCAACACTAACAGAACGACAGGAACCTCATCTCCTCTTATTACTCCACCTCCAGCTCCATTTCAGCTCTTTTCTGCCTTGTATCTATGCAGACTAGCAGCGGCAAACCCTTCAGCTGCACACTGGCGCAACCAGTCGATTGTCGCTGACTTGGCGCCTACGCCCGATTTACAGCCCTCCGCGCCAATCCCGTCGCACTCGATTCAAAGTGCCAGCGCGAAGTGATGTGCCAATTCTCAGACGCCAGAATAGGCTTCCTCCTTGCACTCTGATTGGCACAGTTGCCGCAAAAAGTGTGCCTGGCAGTCTGCCTTTTCAGCTGCAGCTGGTTTGGTCGCTGTCGCTGCAGACAGTTCATAGGTGGAGGGTGCTTTGTTTTGCGGCGCTGGAGGTGGTCACTGCCTTAGTTCATTCCTGCTGTGGATTTGGCGTTCATGTGTCCTGTCAAGTGTGAATGAACGCTGTGAATTTTAGTGCGAGTTACCTACACAAGTCATTCTGCGCCCACAAGTTTGTCGTCTCTGCAGTTCATTCAATTTGCAGATATCAAACCGCGCCATGAGTCAGGCTCATTCCTGACAATTTGCAAAGGGCGAGAACAGAGCAAGAGAGTTTACTCAGGCGTAAACATGCGCAATGGATTGATCTTCCCGTCCCGAATCCTCCCGTCTCCCGTATCTTGCTGACCACCAAGAGTCCGCTGAGGATGTTGATGTGGGACAAATACCAACAGAAGGATGGAAAAGGCGCAGTGTATGCAACCTTTCATCACAGCAGATGATGGCTCATCCGTCACATACTACACGGCTTTCTCCGGTCGTTGCTATATCGAGGAACGAGATTGGCACGTTCTTGCGGCGTTGATATAACAAAACGCTATCGGATTGATGGCTAGATGCCGTCAAGGCAACATGGCACACATCATAGGGGCTAGGACGCTGGACAGGGTCTAATCTCTACTGCCACTGGTCACTTCCTACTGTTGCATGACGCATTCGGAGAGTGCGGTTCTCGACTGCGGAATCACCCGCAGAGAAGGATGGACAATGTTGGTTTGCGGCAATCACTGATTTGATAAATGCGGCTGTTGGTTTCCCTTACTGGCCCAGTGTGACTACACTTGCATGCACATAGATGGGCCGTGGATGTCACCAACATGATGTCAAAGTTCCCCTCTCCCCCTTACTTACCAAGGTTGTTAATGCCTTGCCATAACTGCCACTGTTGCCTGCCTTATATCAACGGTTTAGATAAAACATACGCCCTTATTGGCCTGACTCGGGGGTCCCTTAACATCCCTGGCCGCATGCTTTTCCATTGTGATCCGCAAAACCTGCTCGGTGTTGGAAAGATCAGGTGCAGTAAATTTTTTTTTTATCCCTCGGAAAAAGTAAGCCTTTGTTGGTAGTTCCCCCATTATGTTGGGGACACGGCGAGGCGAGATGTAGAACCAAACAGGCACCAACTACTACGCCGCCCCTTCGGAGAGAAGCGAACGAAAAAGAAAGAAAGAAAGAAAGAATAAAGGAGGGAAATTGGGAGGGGTGGGAGATGCATCATCATGGAGTGTGATTGATGTTGTTGCCCAGTATAGCGGCGCCGTTGCGGCACAGTTCTTTGACCGCAGTCAGTTAACCACAGAGGCAAAAGTTATATAAACGTTCCAGATCCCTCTTGCACTCATCCTCTCTCCATCATCATCAATTCTTCTCTCTGGTCTCTACCTCTTCTTTCATCCAAAGAAAAGCGCTCGAGTCCGTTGCTTCACCCTTTCTGGCATCCTTGACTAAATCCTTTGTTCGCGAGGATCGCCGTCTCGACCAATCCATTTCAAAAACTCTCAAAAAAAATTTTTTTTTTCTTAAAATAAAACGAACCTTCCTCTCCGATCCTTCTTCGAAAATATCCAAAATGTGTTCGGTCTACGTTATCAAATACGACTGTGGTTGTGCCATTCAGGAAGTCGGCGTGGTCCACTGCGCACACCGGGGCACATCAACATGCCCCGGCATTCGGCAACAACCCCGCCGCCGGGAGGGCTACAACTGCCCTAAGCACGGGGGCTAAACATTTCCAGTACAATGAGTGTACAGGGTGGGTTATAGCATATCTCCGGGGTGGTAAAGCCGAGTACTAACGGATATATAGATTCTAGGAGAATTGGCGGGCGATCCAGTGTACAAGGTTAAACTACTATGGATATCGTGTCGATCACGACGTGCGAGCCTGCGAAGATCCTACACGAAATGACTTCTCGATTCTCACATCTGGTTTTGCGGCTTGAACTGCGATATTGATATCATGGGATTTGATTGTTGAGGATGCATCTATATGGTGTCTAAGGAAGCTTACATTGCCATTATTTCCATTGTTTCTCAAGCGTCATTTCAACACTATATGCGCTTTTTTGTTATGTTATGTCATTGTTGCATGCTTTTATTGTGCCCTAGTTTGTGCCTTTGTGTTACATTACCAATGAAATTACTGTGCTTTTTATTTCTTTCCATACCATGATTTAGAGGAAGTTATGTAGAATCGTGTTTATGTGTACTTAGCATTATTACGAAATTTGATATCGCGACATATACCCCATCTCCAACATTTCCATAGCCATATTTCTCAAACACGAACACGAACAATAGTCGAAGACCAAACGCCACACTGGCCCAGTTCTGGAAGCTTGCGTACTAACTAGCCACATTCTAGAACAAAAGGATTGACAGAATCCAACGAAACGTTTCAGCTCCAGGGAACGAATATGTCAGCCCAATTTCTTATCAGCTAAACACCACCCAATGTTCTCAAAACATCAAGCGTTTACTACTACACAGTCTACGCTTCCATCACAACGTGTTTCTTTGTTTACCCACGGCATGCCACGACGCTAACTAATGCAACCCCTGCAGCTCAGCTGCAAGCTCCCCAATAAATGCCTCAATTAACGTTTCCGCGGGTTGGAATATAGAAACGGAGGATGCTCAAAAAAGAAAAAAGAGAAAAAAAAGAGAAAAAAAAGAGAAAAAAAAAAAAAACCCCGCGTGCCCGAAAACAAAGAAAACCTATTATGTATAGTTCTCGTGGTGGCCATCGCCGGCCTCGTGGTTTCAGAGCATGCTGCTACCGCCTCATGGTCATTTCTCTGTCTTTGACCCTGCTATACTAATCCTTAAATTTTGACTTCGCGTGGTTTGATTATTCTGAAACGAATTCTTCATTCCTTTTTTTTATTGTTCTTTCTTTCTTCTGCATTAGCTAACGGTCTTGTTGGGATATGTTGATCAGGGTTAGCGAGCCAGTAGCGACATCATACTGCGTGTTGTTCAATGCCCATTCCACAACTGTGTAGTTGCCACAAAGATTTTAGGTTGATTGTGACGGCCTCGAACAATATGGGTCTATTAATAGATTATCTAGCGGAATACTATCATGGAGAAGGAAAAGAAAAAGCTGGGTCTGCTAGCGCTGCGCTATCTAGTGTGTGCGAAGGAGGTTCCTGCCCTATATTCAAGCAGGCCAAAGTAGTCAAAACATCTCACGCCGCTGGTGAGCTCTCGCGCTCCGTGACACTCACGGCAACTCTGCCTTTTGTACTAGGAACCCAATCACCGGGAATTCCAGGTACACTCTCAGCACGCAGTCAAGCATCGCATACTTCTGGAGATTGGTGTCAAAGTAGACTAGTAGCTGCAGGAGGTCTTCCTCAGAGCGAACTGAGGTGGGTTAACCTTGATTCCGAGAAACACTGGGAGAATCTTCAAATGCACGTCAACGGTCAGATTAAGGGGACTTTGGACAGCAGATCCAGAGTGGAGGCGCTCGTGGCGCATAGGGGTCTTGCTCAGTGGCTGATTATAATGGCACAAGAAGTACAGTAACGGACCTTTTTGTCTCTTAGTTTTGTGGGGATGTTGGACAAGCGGGTCTGCTTCTAGATGGCAGGAATTGGCTTATATTCTTCGCCAAAATCCCGTCGGCTATGTTAGTGATCGATGCAGCTACGAAAGAACGTCGGGTAAACGACGCACGAATGTGATGGTTAAACAAAAGTACAATTGTGTAATCCTGGAAAAAGAGGAGGTGAATATAGGGCTTCCACTATTATGTGACATGATGAGCAGGGTTTACACGTATACGTGTTGGTGTATAATTGTAGGATGTCTTCATAAACCATGAAGTATAATAGTGAGGGTACTGTCGAGCTTTGATAACCTTATTCATTATCGTGACACTAGCCCTGATGATCGTCATTGCCAAGTAAGGTCAGAATACGTGTCACCGTGATGATGGAAATCCATGATAAGCAGCGATTGAAGGTTGTGGCGAGCAAATCGACATCGCATGGCTACAGCTTCCCATGCTGCACTTACTCGCTAGAGAAACTCTGTGACTTTGGCCACTTTGCTCGGAAAGCTCTGTACAGACTTTTCCTCTTGGGTAATAAATTGGAAGGCTAGATTTCTGGTGGGTTATAACCACATAGTATGGTTGAGCCTTGATCAGTGTTTCTCAACAGAACTCACAGAGTGTATGTTACCGGGCGTTATTGCTTTCTGGACCATCAATTACCACCATGGATGTCCAGGAATCAGAACTGGCAATCGAGGCGTTGCCTGGGTATTCCAACACACCTTATTCTAGCAGCCTGCTTGGATTGTACTTTAGCACAATGAAGATGCTGCTGGAATGGGGTATTCAGGTATTCCTGGATTATGCATCGATGCCTAGCCCTAGACTCTGGGACTCCATAACAGTGATCGACGGCCTGAGAGGTTACAAAGTCCGGTGCGTTGCGAGTATGCAACTTGTGCGATTTGGTAGCTGCTGTCCCTATTTATCAGATACCGCGACTATAAGTTTCGACCCTCAATAGTCCTAACATTACCGAGCTGAAGATCCTGCCCTCCGAAGGGAAAAAAGCCTTTACAGAACCTTACCATAACGTCGATCATATCCTATATTCCCTATGTGGTAAAAGAATAGCGAGAGCAATTGTCGACACGCGACGCCAATTCGGTTGGCCCAAACCTGTACATTTCTGCGACCTGCCTCTACATCGATGCTGACAATTTACCAACATTGGATCATCATCCACGATCAGGCTACACCAGTCGTAATCACAAGGGCCAGATTGAAGCATACGATTACCAATGTGACCAGAGCCACTGAGCTCATTATATAGGGACTTGATGTTGTTGAGAGCAGTAAGCGGAAAGCCTGGCTGGAGATGAACAAAAACCCTCGTACGGTCCAGGAGCGAGGATTATTTTCCCACGGGCAATCGATCTCTCTGATGAATGATGGACCCAAGGGATCAATTGCTATTTTCCTCGCAACGTCAGATAATGAAAATGAACTGTATGCCTTGATGACATACCATGAGTTGCCGTATAAGGACAGGAACGAGTCACAAGTGATTACACCAAGTAGTCTTGATTCTCTGACCTGGGTGCTCGCAGCTATTATTTCAAAGCCCTTGAAAATGGAGCCTCTGATGGTTCACCAGCCAAGAGGGAGGATCCATTTGGGGTGATTGAACATGGCCACATCGGTTCAAACAGAAATCGATAGCAAAGCGACTTCACTCTAATTCACCTCAATGATGACTGAACTGCTTAAAATGGAGACTGGATTAACTTTGAATCTCTGGCAGTGTTCGCTACTATAGCAGAAAGTCTGTCCCAGGACTTCACTGGAACATAAGGGATTGTGGGCTGCTGCGACTCACAAGGTGGCCAGATTTGCTACAAGAATGGAGCAACGACGGGCTGCACGGTGGGAATCTCACTCGCACGACTCCTTGAAATTCCGAAAAAGAACTGCTGAGCCGACTTCTGGGGAAGACGATAAAGCTGATATTGTGGTGTCCAAGATTCTTTTGGCCCAGCCTGCTGAAGGGAAGAATTTTCTGTGAAAGAGATTTGGGTGTTTTTGTGTTTGACTTACAGGCTGATGGTTGAGAGTGGTCTGGGCTCTTGGTGTCCATGCTCAAAATTCGAGATCAATTGTTCAGCGTCAGGTCCCACAAAGTCAGGTTTTCCAGTAGTTGGAGGGAAATGCTGGCATGAATTGGGATCTGACTGCGCAGAATGATCGAGACAAGGGACTTTGCATTTCTCGAATGGGAAAATATGCTGTGGATAATGGCTATAAAATTATTATTTAATTCTAAATGTACATATATGCAAATTCCCAAAATAATACTCTTCGTATCAAATAACTCACCCTTTTCTCCCTCGAAAGCAAGAGACAAAAGCATGACCGAGATCAACGCTCATGTAAAACAACAGCAAGACATTGAATAACCTCCCTCATTTGCTTCGACACACCCCACGGAGAGACAATAGTTTCCAAGCCCGTATGAAGGAAGTTGATCTCATTGAGTACCCGAAGTGTCGAAACCTTTCCATTTCCCTTTCCATGCAGGTACTGCAAAGTGCTTTGGAAGTCCATTTTCAAGCCGGGATATTGACTCTGGTATTGCATGTCCCCACTACCAGAACCAGCAGCCAGAATATCGGCCCAGACATCCCGCCACTGAAAGCTCTCGGGAAGATGGATGATTTCACCGTGCACAAGATACACGCTTCCGAGAACCATTGTAGATGCAAATATAGCAGCGGGGATATGAATTGCATGGGATCGTGAGAAAGGGATGTCGTTTAAGAGGCGTATAATAGCTGTTGCGTGCAAGACGGCGCGGAGCGCATCTGCGCTCATTGCCCAATGAGTCAAATCAAAATTACGATGGTTGGCTGGTCTGTTGGTACTAGTGCGCTCACCGAATACGCGAGGAAGTTTGTAGGTTTCGCACAGTTGATGGTAGAGGGTGGTAGATGAGACTGCAAGTTCGAGACAGACTGTGTGCCAGCGAATCGAGAGCTGTAGGTGGTCGTCGTTATAATTTTGTATTAGAAGCTTCGTGGGGTTGCTTTCATAGAGGCTGAGAAGGGCATGGATGATCTGCGTGGCAGGTATAGTCCCGAATGTAGGACCTGTGATTTCGTAAAGATCAGAGACGAGAGATTGTAGGCCCTCTATGACGACGATTGTTGAGAATTTTGACAGACATATGGGCTTGGAAGGGTAGTCATTTGAAAATACAGAAGCAAAGACTGATGAAAATGGTATCTGAACGGCGGTTGAGTGTGCCATCTCCAGAATCCATTCGTCAGCTGTTCTGGCAGCAAATGCGGTGTCAGAAAACGTCGTGTCAAGGGGGTTGATCAAATGGCGCGCACTAGCGGGTGATGCAGATGCCTGGGATATCAGCCCATCCAGAATGTAATGGCCGAGTAGGGCTCGCCGTTGGACCTCTGCAGCTACCCACATCTTCCACGCAGATTCTTTTTCCGACTGGGGTGCATTCAGTCCGGGGACATCGTCCACTTGAGTATCTTTTACTACATACATACCACAGGTCCTCGCCCAGTAGAAGCCAAGGCCGTGGACAACTAGGGCGGTAGTACGTATATTTGGATTCCCGGACAAAAGTGCGTAACTCTGACCAAGAAGAGCTGTGAGGACGACTTGGATCCCATCACAACTGTCACGAGGCCCTCTTAGGCCGAGCAGGGTATTCCAAGATGTCGCAACTGCAGTGTGACCCAATCTCCAAAGAATCTCTCCCTTTTCAACGGAGCCCGGTAGACAGACAAACAGAGATCCAAGTGCAGCCATGGTCAGCAGTAAGGGAGGTATAATCTCGCGAGGGTTGAAAGTGGGCTCATGAATGACTGGAAAAGACGGCAAAGTTCGACTAAGGAACTCCTGTAAGCAAGTATCAAGAAAGGCAGATGTGAAACCAGCGTTTTGCAGATCAGAATTCAGTCTTTTAGACAGGTCATCGATCAATGTATAAATCTGGTGTACAGCCATCTTTCCCGGTGTGCGTTGTGCTTGCTTGGTGGCGTCAGTCTCATCAGACAGATCGGACGTCTGTGCAAACGGTTGATAAGTATGATCCTCCATGAATGGCAGCGGAAGAGCTGACGATGAGCCGAAATCAGGCATAAGCCATTCAAGAAGGTCATCGGGTGAGTCTAGGAGTGCATTCATATTTTCTACTTCTGGCTGATCAAACAACTCAGCACTGGCTATCGACTGATTCAATGGCGTAGGTAGCCGAGTTTTGTCTATCGAGGACCGTGTAATATCCGCCATAGATGACTCTGTCCGAGAAGGAACAGCAGCCGTATGCAGTCTCGTATGCCTTCCCAGGACATCTTGACGGCCAAAGCATTTACCGCACACTTTGCATTGAAAAGGTTTGAAATTGGCGTCTACCACTCTTAGTATTTGTAGATACCGATTCCTGGTATATGAGCAGAATACTCACGGGTTCTCTCGTGTCTCTATGTTGAATTAGTGACAAGGCCTCGTTAAATCAAAGAGGGGGCTCACGGCAAGATGTTCCAGCGTGGTGTAGAATTTGCTACACAGTGGGCATTGAAAACGCTTGCTAGATCTAGACCTTTGACGACTTGAGGAGCTCATGTTGATGAGTAGTCATTTCAGGGGCATTGATTTGAACTTTGATATACAAGAGGAAGGAGCGAAGAGAAACGCAGTCGAGCTGAGCGGCGGGTTCGTAGCAGGTAAACGGTCTGCATCATTCGATAACGATCTCCAATATCAGTGTAAATGCCCCGGACCTGATAGATTTCCGTACTGATGAAAGTCGAGGTGGATTAATAGTTGGTCCGATTACCGAGGCCGACAGATCTCTCATATACGGACGTACACACTCGTTTAGGTAGCCAAGCACTCATTCTACCATCTATGGTGTCTATGGATATCAATGTCACCCTCCGTGTAATCTAAATTTCCTCTTCATATATAGCCTCGTGCAGTCCGGATAATCGACTCCCCGACTTCCCCGACTCGGAGTTAACCGCCTTATTCGTTTATCCGTTTCAGGAACGTGCTCAAAGGGTCATGTGACATAACCGCATCTTATCTCCATTTATCTCCAGGAAGTGACGTCGAACAATGGCTCTCATACACGTGATCAAGTCATGTGATAGGCCTTTGATTTGTCGGTAGATCACCAACCCTCACCGATCGTCATCCATTACAGTCAACTTCTTCACAATCGACGAATTCTGCGGCACATGTAATGTCCATCGACGTCAACTGGGAGACAGCCACCTCTGGACCGGACGGGGAGGCTCTGGCCGAGCGCATCCGCTCCTTTATCCACGACAAATTCCAGCAGGTGGCCCTCCCACGCTTCATCCGTTCGGTACACGTCCATTCCTTCGATTTCGGGACAATCCCTCCAGACCTCGAGATAAAAGATTTCTGTGAACCGTTTACGGACTTCTACGAAGAGGACGATGATGATGAGATATCAGAGGTGTCAGAGGAATTAGTGTCGGAGCATGGCAGCAACACCACTCACGATGACGAGAGTCAATGGCCCGGGACGGGGCCTCCTTCGTTCCATGACGGGATGGCGATGAATAACCAGCAATTGCGGGATCCCTTCGATGAACCTGGGCATCATTATGATTATCCGTCGGCTTTGCGGTCGCCTATTGAGCACCTCAATTCGCATTTCCTGCCTCGCGCCGCGGGCACACCGGGCTTACCTGTTGGGACGTCGACACTGGGTTATCATCTCATGTCACTAGGTGCGTTGTCTGGGACACAAACTCCTCTAGCTGCGGTGGCAGGCGGTTCGCCATTTGCCAATGGCTGGTCAGACTCTGGTATCGGGCCGGCGAGCAGAATGCGACTGGAGAAACCGTCTGTACTGGCATACCCTCACGCAGCAATGCAGCAACATCAGCTCCTCCAGCAGCAGCAGCAGCGTCAACAGCAGCAGCAACAGCAGCAACAACAGCTAGAAGCCGATCTTGACTCCGCTTCCCGACTATCAACAGCCTCTCATCCTACCGCCGCGAACAAGGATAACCCCAACAACGGACCAGACGACCCCATCATCCCCAGCCCCGGTACAAGCCCTCACCTAGGCGACCCCCCTTCTGCAACCCACCAACAAAACCACCAACAACCACCACCTCAAATCCCCCTCCGTCCACCCCCGCGTATGCGCGAGCGGAAACCCGAAGACTTCCAAGTCCTCTGCCACGCCAAATACGCAGGTGACGTTCGTCTATCCCTAACCGCTGAGATCCTCCTCGACTACCCCATGCCCAGCTTCGTAGGGCTCCCGCTAAAACTTAACGTTACGGGCATAACGTTCGATGGCGTTGCGGTGATCGCGTATATTCGCAAACGCGTGCATTTCTGTTTCTTGTCTGCTGAGGATGCGGATGCGTTACTTGGGTCTGAAGAACAGCAGAAACAAGGGGACAGCAGTAACTCTGCTGCCAGCAATACCAGTGCCGGCCTAGGCCTGGATACCCATAACACTACATCCTCCGCGCAGAAACGGCAGGGTGGTTTGCTTCAGGAGATTCGGGTTGAGAGTGAAATCGGCCGCAAAGAAGATGGGAAACAGGTTCTGAAAAATGTTGGCAAGGTTGAGCGGTTTGTTCTTGCTCAGGTGCGCCGGATTTTTGAGGAGGAACTTGTGTTTCCTAGTTTCTGGACGTTTCTTGTTTGATTATGTTTACGAATGATGAATTGCTTTGCATATTTGGCGTAGTAAAATTTGAGTGAAATAAAACAGGATAAATACATTTTTTCATACCGAAATAAAGGCTCACAGTGATACCATATGCCAAGTGAAGTATTTGTGTTCGTATACCCTGGCAAATATAATCCCTTAAAACACCCATCCGTCAACCCGCAGCCCGAAAAGCCGAAGATCCGTTGTACAAATGTTCACCATAGTGCTAAATGCAAACACATCCACACATTCTTCGAAGCATTTGAAATACCAACCGTCACGTCGTAAATTTCATAGCACAACCTATGACCAAGTTTTCAACAGTGACTCGCTGAAATTTACAGATCCTTCTTAGGTCCCTCAGGCTTGTCGGAGACTTTGTCGCCCAGGTTGTGGTACTCACGAGCCAATCCATCAGCCTGCTTCTTGAGGGTCTCAATGTCACGGTCCTTGGTAGCGAGCTCCTCCTTAAGACGGCCAATCTCGCCAAGGTCACCGGCACTAGCAAGACGAGCGGAGTCCTTGCCGCCAGTCTGCTTGTCGCCCTGGAGGTGCTTGACCCTGTCCTCGAGACGGAGGAGTTCGAGAATCATGGTGTAGGTGCGGTTGAGGATCAGGGAGAGGAAAAGCGTGAAGCCACAGAGGTACATGTTACGCTGGGAGTAGAACTTGCGAGCCTGGACTTCCATGCGGTCCGTTCCGAGAGCGGCGGCTCTATTACGAAAGTGAATTGTCAGTAAATAGACTTATTGAGGAAAAGTGTCGCATCTGAAGAAGGGGGAAAGGAACTAACCCCATAGCACCACCCTCTTTGCTGAAAGACGACAATTCGAGCTGCACGCGGTACACACGATTGACGCTGTCAATGAAGAGGATTAGGATGAAAATGAACGTTATCTAACACAATTTATTAGACTCCAGTAAATACCAGTCCGATGTCGAAGCCCGCTCACCTTTAATCCATATTGTAATTTCGCTACCACCGGGCTTTCCGAGATGAAGGTAAACAACTTCCGCTTGATGGTGAAGGGAAGAGGGACGATCAAGCCCATGAAGACGGCCATCTCAAATACCAGGAGGCAGAAGACCTATGTTATTCAAATAGCCATGGTTAGTATACAGATATTGAGAACAGAAGAGAGCCATAGATCTGCCCGCTACAAAGAACCTCGTGGAGGCTGCAGTAATCTCGACCAGCGACATAACAACCATCATGCCGTAAGCTTATCATAGAGATACTCACGAGACTGTAGTAGAGAGTCATTGTGCTCAGCAGCGAAATCCCGGAAATCTTGAAGAATTGGTTCGATTAACTGAGCTTGAAATGAACGTTGGAGCCTGAACTCGGTTGCGGGGAGATTTCAATGAACGTGACTGAGACGACAGAGAAACACTGGAAGAGATACAAAAAGAAGTTCGAGAGTAATAAGCCTGCAATTAAAGCAAGAATTCCTTGGAATAAATCAAGGAAAAACACACGCGGGGAGCTGAGAAGGAGACGTTGTGCGTTGACGGGGCTGAGTTGGTCTCTGCTACGCGGAAGACGTCATTAAGCTTACCAAGCCACGTGACATAACAGCGGCTAAAAAGTATGTATTCGCGTGATACCGAGTCCGAGAAACTACTGGAATTTACAGTGCAGGGCTGTGCTTGATCTTCATGCTATCTATGGTATATGTGCATTCATGGTATATGTGCATTCATTCGTGTGGCATTTAGTTGCTAGCACTTTAACCCTCCACCTCATAGGCATTGGACTTGTGCTTGGGCTCGAACTTGAAGTCCTTGTGAGCTGGGCCGAGGAACATTTCCCTATTGTCTTCGTTAGAATATTGTTCAATTAGACATTCGAAAAAAAAAAAAAAACATACGTGATCTTGATCCAGTCCATGTAATGGTCACTGCCCATAAGTGTTTCCAGGTCATTTCTACCTCTCCAGACCGGAGGTCTGTCCTGGATATTCGGAGGGAGATACTCAAGCAACCCGATAGGAACGTAACGATAAGTGAAGCTAAGCCACTCAAGCAGAAAACGGCGAGTGATGCCAATGCCATACTCATCCGATCCCCAAGCCTCGAGACCGTATTTCGCAAACTTCTCCACATACGATAAACGTTCAGATGCGGACTTGTCGAGATACTGGCCGGATTGAATTTCTTCAAAGAGCCAAGGCTTAATGAGAGCTCCGCGGCCAACCATGACCGAGTCAACTCCGGCATTGTTGATGTGGTCGTCATAGTCGAAGTGGGAGTAGCAATCGCCGTTTCCGAGGAAATATACTTTGCCACCGTTGGCTTGCGTCCGCGCATCTGGCTCGCGGATGGTGTCGGTTACTTCGTCTGTCCTTTCGTTCAATCGCTTGATGAGAGCAGAGCACTCAGCAATGTAGCTCCAGTCAGCTAGTCTGGTGTACCGCTGCTGTCTGCTTCGTCCGTGAAGAGTCACGGCTGCGATACCAGGAGGTCCAACATCGAGCAAGCTGGATTCGTAACCTCCCAGAACGAGACGCTCGACGAGCTTCTGTGCATTAGGGGCGTTGTCTCGGGTTCCAGTGCGGATCTTGACAGTAATAGGAATCTGTTCAGAAACTGCGTTCATACCTCGCAGGATCTTCTCCAGCTTTGAAGGGTGGTCAAGCAAGGCAGAGCCAGCGCCTTCGCGGTATACCAGATCTATGGGACAACCGCAGTTCAAATCAATGACACGCAAGTTGGGTGTGTATTTGGCCAGGACCTCGGTAGCCTTCAGTGCCTGCCAGGGCTTGTTGGCTGCGATTTGGGCACCGAGCTTGACGTCCTTGGAGTGTTCATAGCCCTGCACAACACTTTGCGAGGGAGAAATGGTTGGTGGGAGCATTTCGGACTCATGGGCCCTCATTAAAGCCCACTCCGACTTCGACCCTTGAATTAAGGGCATGCTCATGGCCATCTCTGAGTAGGTAAACTGCGCGCCAAGCTCCGAACAAAGTCTCCGGAAGGGAAGGTTGCCCTGTGTCGTCAGGGGAGCCAGAGCTGGAGTCTCTGGCCCGAAATAAAGACGTCTCTTTTCCGACGGTAAGAAAGGCTGCTCGGCGTACTGTGCCCGATTCTCTTCCTTTGCTTCCTTAGCCTGTTCATCCGCTCCTTGTTCTCCATCCTCCTGATGACGCTTATGAAGCTGCTTCTCCAAATCCCGACCAGTCTTGTCGAGCCATTTCGAGTACGCATCAGCGCGAGGTGTCTTGACCCTCTTTCTCGCCAGCGCAACCTTATCCTCACTCGAGATAACATTGACGAAGCCATCTTCTGTCGCATGCGGGACAATCGGCCTCGCCTTTTGCTTGCGCTCTTCATCCTCGACCAGAACCAGTTCTTTCCGTCCATCAGCGGTTTCCCGCTCAGTCATATGCGAACCAACGAAGCGACATTTCCACCCAGCCTGACATTTGCCTCTCGCATCCCAGACCGGACATACGCCGTTGAAAGTCGCAAGATCCTCCCGCTTGTGTTCTTTCAGGTATGTCCGCAGGTTATGCTCGAATCTGCACTTGTCGGCGAACTTGCATTCTTGCGGCGCAAATTCGGGGTTGAAGATACGGGTTGGGCAGAGACCCTTTGCATCCGTCGATCTCCCAAAGCTGCGATGAGTGTTCTGACCGGTAGCCTTCTTTTTTTTATCTTTCTTGTCATTGTCGCGATCATCGTGATGCACGGCTTCGGCGTTGTCGTCAGGGCTCGGTGAGGCGACTTGGGCGGCATGGGTACCTCTTCCGATTGTTTGGACGACGAACCTGGCGTAAAATCACAAATTAATCTCTCATGCTGAATAACGAGTGGCTAATTGACAGCAATTCACAAAAGCGACGGGCGCAAAGCATACTCAGGCTTCACAGGAGCAATGCCTCTTCTCCGACCGAGCTCGCGCTCGTCGGGCTGTGCCGAATCATCTTCCAACCTCGCTTTTTTCGAAGGCGGTCCCTCAGCAGCATCAGAAGCAACTGCGTCATCCGATGGGCCGTGTTTGGCGGTGGCCTCTAGATTGGAAACATCGTTATTTACTTCCGGCTGTGTCGGCGCAGGTGCGGAGTCCGCCATGACGCTGGATGGTTATCCCCGGTAACGAATTTGATTTTAACAGCAGGGCGTTGATTGTCTGGGGAAATGCAAACGAGTGCCTTCAGCTGAGAAACTAATTTCAAGTTTTGTTTCTTAGTGCTTCAACCGCAATGGCTCATCAAATACCGATTTTGCGTGAAAACCGAGATGGCGGGAAAAAAAATCCCACTGCAGCTGATTAGATTGCGTTTGCAGCGTTTGCAGCATGGAGAAAGAGCTAATTGTGGCGCAAGGCGGGATGAACTTGTGGCGGTGGAAAACGAGGTCATGGTTACTTCAGCCGGACCGTTAGTGGCACGTAGCGGCATACGCGGTAATCAGTATGAGCTGTACAAGCGGCGCAACTAATTGTAACGTAAGAATTTGGCAGGTATCATTGGCTGGATATCCCAGGCGAACGAGTCGAGGAGGGGTAATAGTGGAGCGGTGAATCCACCGAAAATGAACCTTTTTCACTTTTCTAGAAGCCACCGGTACGGTACGAAGTATTGTCAGTAAGTACTGGTACTTACAGTATCCATCTGTGTATAGTTACTCAGAGTCCATACGGCGTACGCGATAAATGTAGTGGAGGAAGCATGGAGCATTGATATGGTATACAGAGCACATGCAGAGTAAGCCTAGAGTATCCCGTGTCTGCATCCTACATCTGAGAGATTGGTAAATGAGATCCCATGGCTGCCCAGAACTACTGTAAGCATCACGTAGAAGGTTTAAATTCCGGAATCTCGGGCGACATGATTGGACATGTACCCCATACATAGCATATGCAAGTACCTTGAAATGGGCGGCAGGCAGTGGCCTGTAGATTGCAGTATACAAAGTACGTTACTTCGGGATCCATGCATAGTAAGCCGCTGCATGAGGCTGCATACTCTGGGAGTCGACATCCTCGTATACCAGCGGATGATGCCACGGTCGAGAGCTGCCGATTTCTAAGACATACAGAACGTTCAGTACAGGCTTGTCTCGCCTCGCATGCTCACAAGCAGTGCCTCGCGTACTCTACTACATGTGGCATGTTAAGAGTGGAGAGTACGTTAACTGTATGTGTATGTAGCAATACTAGGAATATCATCTAAACGTATGAGCTAAATTAAGAGCATGACCCGCATTGCTTGTCATAAGTCAATCATTTAGATGGAACAGAATATAGAGTAATTCGGGGTGACGCCGGGAAGGTCACAAAACATCGTGTTCTTTGGGTCTAAACTTGTGGCAATTCCACGGCGCTTCTCCGGAGTAAAGTTGTCTTGGATGCCCCGATTGGAATAGAATGCTGAGAATTCTCTGACGTTCACCATGGCACCATATGCAGCAATATGCAAGTGCAAGTGCCATATCTGAATGTGAGAAGGATAATCTCACAATTCCCGCGCTAGCGATATGAACTACTTCAGTTAAAAATGTTCCAAGTCTGGCACGGAGTATTGGACCATTATTCCTAGCAATTGCTGTACATTGTAAGATATTCAACACTACCAGGTGATCTGAAACTCTCAGTAGCTACTAACCCCTGGGAGCAGTATTATTCAGGATAGTCCTACAACCAGCACATTTCTGTCGCTTTTATAGTTGGGGTAATGTGCCAAGAGACCAATGTAACAATTTACCAATGCTATGCCGTTTCCAGTAATCCAGCATTTCCCAAGAATGCGTTTTAAACTGTACGAAATAACAGAATCATGGCGGTGAAAGAATTCCCTTGGCAATTATCAATACTATTCAACAATATTCTTTGTCTTCTGCTGTCCATTGGGTACCATTGTTGAAACCCGTTGTATTCTGAGAAAGTCTGCCGAGCCACGTTCGGCGGTGAACTTCTGCGGAAAAAAGCGATGCTTCTGCCGTGTTTCTAGCGCCCGCGCTAAAATCGCTACACTCGCTTGCAGGTGAGGCTAACATACTTTATTTTTCCCCAAGACAAGAATATCGGTGATCCCAAAACCAGGCGCTTGGTTTCGGCGAATCTCGTGTGAGTGAACACGTAAAAAAGGTAAAAAAGGGGATACTAGAAGATGGGGCAGGATGAGAAGGAGGGGGGATTGTCGTTGGAGTCGCATCATGACGAATTAGGCAATATGGGGTCAGTATCTAGTAGTAGCGGTGGACGGTTGTTTGTACACGGAATGTTTAGACCGCTCAGATGTTTCTGTATACTCTGCGCTGAGGGGACAGACTTTTTGTCTATACAGCGTAGTTGATATTAATTGAATTTGAAAAAGATTAAACCACGTGTTAAGGCCTGACCACCTGATGTCATTGCTATGGAAGTAAATATGGTTAGTGCTGGACACAGTTTGTATATACAGTGATAAGTGCTTATCAATGGATGTGTACTCAGTATACAGAGTACCTATAAACACCGTAGCATCGTTATGTGAATCCGGAGTCCCTGAAGATCAAGAAACCGTCAACGATGCAGAGTACGTACTCGCGGTGCGCATCGTTGGGGGATTGAAAGTGCAAGGCTGCCCTGTGGGGTAAACCCGGCTCTATATTTAAGATGAATCCATAGAACAACCATGGTTGTGCTCCGTAGAGCGACAGTCTTTCCCTAGCCCAACAGACTCGAGACGGATTCGGCGACCATATGGAGACTAGTGCATGGTGAACCATGGATACGACTGACTCGAAAGCAGTGCGCCAGCAGTTATGTGTCAGCCCCTCTTGCGGGATGCCCGGCATTGATGCCTTCCCGAGTGGCCATTGCCATTCCCTTCTATTGTACTCTTCACGAAGTGAGTACTTTCACTATCAGGAGGAATATCGGGAAAAATGAATAGAAACAAGTTTAGTTAGGATTCACTATGGAAGGTAGTCAGGAAGATCCTTTGATATTCACTGCGTTGTCAGTGACTTGTCTGCAGGTCATTACGGTTTTACAGACTAGCTGTAATGTAATGGTACATGGAAATACAAGACCGCTAGTACGATACGGTTTACATGTTGGAACTGCATCATTGACTGCTACTACCTTTACCTTGCCATCGACATTAGACCTCATGTGTATACAAGGGTACTCTCTTGTAGAGTAATGGGCTCACAATAACAGATTATATGGTGTGCAAAGTAGTAGCAGTTCGCCATAATAATGGGCCTAGGATGCATTCAGGTTCAATATGAATCAATGATAACGTAAAGTACGGAACCGGCTCTGTTGCCTCCATCGGCAGTACGGTAATAATACGGGTAATATTCTGGGATCGCGACGCCTTTCCCAATCGAAACCAATCCTGGTCACTTCTTGGTATATTATTTTACTTCTATCGATCTCCAGGAGAGCTTCTTCGATCATCTCTATCGCATCTCTCCCTCTCACCACTTATCTTTCTATATCTCCCTCTCTCTTTCTTCATTTTGTTTCTATACATTCTTCATTCACATACCACTATCGGGTTCGTGTGTTCCGCCACTTTTCCCGAATCCGTCACGCTTTCCGCAGCCCAAGCGGGACTACATCCGAAGGTGGACTCCCTTTAAACCACCGTCGAGGGAAATTCGACACACTACTTTTTGACTTGATTTCTACCTCTTTTTTATTATTCTGATGCTCGGGTCCTCAGGATCGCAAAGCCCTCCTCCCCTTCATCACTCTCCATCCGTCGGTGACCAAGATCGTGCTTCGACTAGAGACTCGACTCCCGTCACCACTCCCCTCGGCTTTGGAGTTCCATCTTCCCACAGACCTGATAGGGAAAAGGACTACTTAGATCCCTTTTGGTCTCGAAAACCCGTTGATACCGCAAATCATCGATCATACTTCGACTCTCAGACTCACTCGTCCTCGTCGCAGTTTGACGCAGACCAAGATTTTCCCTTGTTTCTTTCGCCTCCTACGTCGAACAACAACACCATGTCCGGACCGGCCGCGCCTATTGACATTGCCACCCGTCAGACCTCCGTCTCCCCGCCCGGGCAGCAGGCGTCGAACTTGACTTCCGCTCTGCAGAAAGCGAATAACGGTGAACGCACGGGCAGCATATCGCATTCCAGCGGTGTTGGTCTCAGCGTCTTCAAAGCCCCGCAACCTCGCAAAGATTCTTTTAACACCGCAGCGGCTCAATGGGGAAATGGAACCAAGCCAATCTCTGTTACCGGGTCTAACCGCGACAAGCAACGTCGGGAGTCGCTGGCTGGAAGCTTAGTAGGTGGTATGAGTTGGGGTGGAGTGTCTGTTGGCAGCTGGATCCGTGATGAGTGAGTACCTCTGGCTTTGTATTTCTGGCGGGGTTGCGGGCCGCATCCAGGAGCTCCAGAAGAGAAATGTCGCTAACGAGCTCTACAGTATCCTTATGACCGGCACTTCTCCCTTTACGGGTTTCCAGTCGCCTTCTTTTCACTCTTCTTCTTACCTGCCGAAATTGGAGGCTAATTTCATGCGTGATTTCGCATGCTGTGGCGTGACTCTTCCCACACTCCATGATTTATTGCAACATTACGAAGAAGCCCATGCCACGAAATCGCCACACCAGGGTCACCGTCCTAGTCAAGGTGAAAGCCGGGCTGCATTGGCGGCCGCTGCACTTGCTCATCAGCAAAACCAGCAGAACAATGGCCAGAGTCGTGGTCTGCAGCCTGACAAGATTATGGATATGCAGCGCAAGTTGAGCCATACTCAACCATCCCACCACCACCCCGACCTGGACACCATTGATGACATGGAACTGGATGAACCTATGGGTGATAGCGATTCGCCGTCGAATCTATTTTCGCCTCCACCACAGAGTGGTAACCAGAGTGGATTTGGGGATTCAAACAGACCGCAGCTCAACCTGTCCATGCTTCCAGGCAACCAAGGTTTCAAGGGCTCCCAACCGGGTACCCCGGTTTCTTCTGCGCGTCCTCTTTCGCTGCAAAATAACCCCACAGTATCTTCCGTCAACACGCCAACTCTGATGGCGAATCCTCTGCAGAATGCACAATTTCGAAGCACTCCCGACTCATCAGCCCCGGGCACACCGGCCGAAATCGATGAGAGTGTAGTTGGTGGATTTGGCGATTTGACTATGCATGGTGGCGGTACCAATAGCCAGGGCCAGGGTCAGTCACAATTCTCGCGATTTGGAAGCAGCAATGACATGGTCGACCTCTGTATCGATGAACCAGCGAAGCGGTTGTTCAGCCCCAGTGGTGGTTTCAACTCTCCTAACGCGCACTTCAAACTCAGCGGAGCACAGTACGGTCCTAACAGTGACATTGCACGCCGAATCCGGGAGCAACAGTTGCTAGCCGGGGTGCCGGACACCACCGCTCTTCTTCCGAATGAGGAGCCGAAGCCATTCCGATGCCCCGTCATTGGCTGCGAAAAGGCTTATAAGAACCAGAACGGCCTTAAATACCACAAAGCTGTAAGTATACCTAATGCCATAAGAGCTATATATCCCCGATACTAACTTATCCTAGCATGGTCACAACAACCAACAGTTACATGACAATGCGGACGGTACATTCTCGATTGTTAACCCTGAAACATCGGCGCCTTACCCCGGATCGCTTGGCATGGAGAAAGAGAAGCCCTACCGGTGTGAAGTGTGTGGCAAGCGGTATAAGAACTTGAACGGCCTCAAATATCACAAGTCGCATTCACCACCGTGCAACCCCGAGTTTCAGCTCATGGCCTGTCGCAGTCTCAACTTTGGCGGAGGCGTCATGCAGGGACAGAATATCAATGTTGCCGGGGCTGGCCTCCCTGGCATTGGCGAGGAAGGTCTTCTATAAATTGCCTTCTTTGACAGCTTTGTCCTTTATCTTTGTTTCTTTCTGTTTTCGTGATTCCCCCTAACGCTTATCGACTCGACGGATTTTTTTATGGCCTTTGTCGCTTTTACATACGATCTAATGAACGGTTCGGAGACTTGGAGTTCAATGTGGTGTTCGCTTCATATTTCACTGGATGTCGAGCGCTATTGAATGGACAAAAGGTCCTTATGCTCTAACTTCAGTCGAGGAGACCGCATATGATTACTCCTTTTTCAAATTTCCGCTGTTCTTATCAGTTTCAGAAAGAGAACGGAGATATTTCTTTTTTTTTTTCACTTGGAATTCGTTTGGGAGCACAAAAAAATTGGGTCCGAAAATTTTCTTTTTATTGTTAAAGGGTGGTTTTGTCGTCTTGCTCCAACGCATATCTCATTTGGTTATGGCTTTTTGTTGGAGGAAAAGTTGCTTTCTAGACGAGTTAGCGTCTTGCTTGGAACGTTTTGAACAGTGCCTGGTTTGCAACTGGAGATATTTCAGACCTGATCCCAGTGCCTTTCTGGCTATGTATGGTTCATGATTCCATTTCTTTAGTTT